CCCCGATCACTTTCTGCACTTAATATAATTAATTTCTAAGTTTGTGTCGCTTTAATGAGAAGGTTGATCAACTTGAAAGAATTTTGATACGGCAAAGGAAAATTCGATGAGCGTTAATGCAAAGTAAAGGATGAAACGTGAAATTTGATGAGGATATCGTGTACAAAAATATGTTTGATATTTTGGCGCGGCATAGTTCAAGTTTCATCGTTAACGAGACATAAATTGGAAGTATATCGGTGTCGGCATGTCATCAAGGGAACATTATGCGAGTTTCGATGCAGATTCCAGCTTACCTAGTCTCTTTGTGCTTCAAATCTTGCCACATGTATCGCATATTAATCTTAGCGTTAATATTAATGTGGAATGCACTTAAAATGGATGAGAACGTTGCATAATATTCCTGCGCGATACACTACGATTATAATAATATCGGATTTCTTACTTTTTTTGCTTTTATATGGAGTCGAAATCGCGATACAATTTCTGTTAATAAAGTTTTAAATTGTGGGATCATAAAAGAAGAGAAATTAGAATTTTAAGTTGGATCTGTTTGATACTGAAATTGTACAAAGTTTAAAATAATACAGAAATTATAAAAATTATAAAATGAAATATAAAAGGGTAGAAAAATAAAAATATCTCCGATAAATAACATATTGACAAAATAAGTAATCTTTCGTGCGCTCAAAGTAATTTATAAATAATTCAAAAGTTCAATCGTAACGTTAATACTAACCGAATCTTTTTATCTCATATCCAATTTAATGTCGCAGGGAGAATAATGCCGTCGCCGATGTCGATAGGATGTATCGATGATGCTCGACACCTGGTTCGGTTTTTCCGAAAAAAAGGAGAGAAGAATCTACAAGCATCGATACCCGTCACGATCGTTAATTAATCTCTATAACGCGATAGCGTATCGGAGGGAATACAAGCTACCTGTGTGCTAACGAGGTGCGCGTCATACGCGATCGATGTAATTAATAATTAGTTTCTCCATATCAAAGCGATCCTCTGAACTCTGCTTTCTCTGGAGACGTAAATAATTATCCAATAGCCGGGACAGTAACGTAGTCAACAACGGGGGAGTTGTATGGATCGTTTGACAGAGAAAAGGATTAAAACGTGAGATCCGAGGAAGTGGAAACTGAGGAACCTGTCTACTCGAATTTGACTCGTGCTAGTTGCATTATTGGGAAATCGTGAATATAGTTGGAGATAAAGATAGGATTGTGGTAACTTTGAGACTAACGGGGGATTTTTTTTTAATCCTAGATTACTATTAAAAATGTGTTACAGATAAAATTTCATAAATTTTGTGAAGAATTTTATGGAGTCTAGTATTAGCAAACTTTTATGTTTAATACAATGACACAACTAGAATAAATACATTAGACATTGAAGAAATAATTTAATAATAAGAAGAAAAATATATGTACTTTTGTAAAAAAAAAATAATAAGAAGCTATTATTGTTCACCATTGGCCGCCATTTTGTCATATACACCAACGCCATCTTAATAACCTTGATATTTACAAGTACATCTAAATCCAACTTCATCTCAATTGACTGTATTTATACTAAATGAAAAGTAACAATTAATATTTACAATTACTTTTAAATTTAGCAAAATAATTCACTGACGCCATTTGGCAATGCAGTCGCCATTATCTGGTGCTCCTGACTGGCCGCCATTTTGTCATGTACACCAACGCCATCTTAATAACCTTGATATCTACAAGTATATCAAAATCCTACAATTCCCAAATGCCAAAATTCCAAAATCCTAAAACCCCAAAACTTGAAAATCCCAAAACCCCAAAATTCCAAACTCTTCATAGCTCATTACCTCAAACCCCAACTTCCCAAAATCCCGAAATCCCAAACAGACCTAAACTCTCCAGCAACCATCGCTGCACATTCGCAGCGTTCCATCGACCGGTCCCCCATCCGATTAATCGAATGAGCAAAGCAGTGTAACCATTCCAGATCAAAGAAAGAACCCTCCAAAGCGATGTTTCACGCGAAGATAATTTCGCAACAGGCTCCGATCGTATTCATCCTCCGTTCACGGATTAATCGTTCACAGCGAAATCCATTTCCGCGCAGAAAGGGAAATTTCACCCTCCTTTAGGCATCCACCCCCATAGAGGTACCAGCACCGGTTAATGAGGAATCTTCTTTTTACTCGAAACTTTTTGTTTCCCTTCTTTTTTTTTCATTCCATCTTCCCGCTCGCGTTTCTCCGCGAAGCCGAAAATTGGTCGACCTGACGGAGGCGCGAATAAAGAGAAAGGTCGAAGGAAAAGAGGGGAACAGGGGGCTCGCTGGAATATCGATATGCGGGCGGAGTAAAACAGAATCGAAATGAGACAGGGGGTCGGTGCTTTGAAGGGCCGCCGATCAAAGCGTGCACGGGAGAGCCACGAAAAAAACTTCTTCTCTTTTTTTTCACCCGGCGAATTCATCTCCGCCTCGTTCCGCTCGGTTATTGCTGGAACTTGCTAAATCGCCGCGCGGAAAATGGCCGCTACTCGAAAGGGTCGGCCAAGAACCCTGATGTTCGTCCGCAAAATTTTGGCAGCACTCCTCCTTTTTACTGCGATATTTATAGTTTTTATCGATATTATTCTCGCGTGCATGTGTACTGTGTTCTTGGTGAACATTTTTTAATTATTTTACTGATATTTTATTTTGCTGATAGTTATAGGAAGTTATAGTAATGTTGGATTTGCAAATAATTTTAGATATCAAGGTTCATGCGATGACGTTGGTGTGCATGACAAAATGGCGGCCTATCGTGAACGGCACGTAATGGCGACTCCACTACAAAATGGTGTCAGTGATATGTTTTGCCAAATTCTAATGCAATTGTGGATATTAATTGTTACGTTTCATTTAATATAGATGCAGTCTATTAATGTGAAGTTAGATTTAGATATACACAAATGGCAATATATGAAGAGAATTGCACAATAGGATGAAAACTAGGCGTTTCATCCATTGCTATCCATAAACAGGGAATTGTTTAATGATAGGAAATTAGTATTAGTAAGCGGCGATATATGAAGAGAGTTGCACAATATGATGAAAACTAGGAGTTTCATCCATTGCTATATACAAAAAGGGAATTATTAGATGATAGAAGATTCGTATTAGAAAACGGCGATATATCAAGAGAGTTGTACAACACAATATATTATGAGATTTTTAATTACTTATGTTTTAGAAAGTGGAACAGAATGAATGAAAGAATTGTGATGGAAACGGCGATATATCGAGTGAGTTGTATATGACGCAAAATAGAATTTTTGACCATTGCTATGTATAAAAGAGACATTATTGAATGATAAGAAATTGGTATTAGAAGACGGCGATATATCGAGAGAGTTGTATATGATGCAAAATAGGACTTTTGACCACTGCTATGTATAAAAGAGACATTATTGAATGATAAGAGATTGGTATTAGAAAACGGCGATATATCGAGAGAGTTGTATATGATATAAAATAGGATTTTTGACCACTGCTATTTATAAAAAGGGAATCATTGGATGATAGGAGATTAGTATTGAAGAACGGCGATATATCAAGAGAGTTGTAGAATTCGACCCAAAATAGGATTTTTGATCATAACTGTATAAAAAACGAATCAATGAATGACATGATTTGAAGTTAACAGTACGTGATTTGAATTTGACGCCACGAAATTTGAATTTGGCGCCATATATTATCACATACATTGCTACTACTTCACTGTATTCAATATTATTAAACAAACATATATATTAACCTGTTACGATACTAAATATTAACTACATTGTTCGACAAAAATTGAAATGTTCAAACATTGACGAAATGCTGTCAATATTTATAATAACCTTCCATTTCGATCGATTCCATCGAAAGTCAACTCAACTGTTTAGAGTATGTCCACTGAAATCGATTGTATTCACGATAAATATTGAACGTCCGAGGTAAATGTTGTACAATAATAAATATTGATAATACTAACAGTAGTGTACCGACTCATATTGACTCGTATCATTACATTACGTTCATAAACAGTACATATTGAAAATATAAATTCACCAGGCAAATTTATGGATACCTCTAAATTACTAAAGCTATTAGATTAATTATTAAATTAATTTCACTTTAATAATATACTAATATTAACAATTCATAAATCAAGTTTCAGTATGTTGTACAAAAGAACATAAATCATCCCCAACTTATTGTTTTGAAGATACTTATTTTCAAAGATAAGTAGATTTTTTCTTTCAAAATTCAGAATTAAAAATTTAAAAATTTAGAACTGAAAATTTAAAAAAATTTAGAATTAAAATTTAAACAAAATTTTTAAATTTTCCTTCAAAAATTTGGAATTAATATACATAACAAAACTGAAAAAATAATTTAATTACTTCAGAACAACTCTCAAATCCCACATCTATCTCAGAACGACCCTCACATCGAACAGGAATTTCGCAACAACCCCGCCGATCAAGTCTAACGAAATCATGTTGAGCCCGTGATTGCCATTCGGTGGTCAGATTTAGCTCGAGAATTAGCCAGATTTCTTCAAGCCGAAGATTCAACTACGATCAAGTTTGAAAAGTAGCCGGTCCCAAGGAGACCCAAGGTATCAGCGGGGTGGCAGCGAGTAGATGTCGAGGGGAGAGGAGTGGTCGTTATACTAATTTGGCGGGTGCTCGTTAACGACCCCTTTGAGGTCATAACTTTTGCCGCAAGTCGTACACGCGTGTATGTGTGTCCCCCTCCTTCCCGCCACGTGACCACCTTGGCCGCTGTTCAGTCAGTTGGCTCCTTGAAAAGCGTCGGGACACTCGGCGCCGCGCTTCATCCCTCGGGTGCGTGGCGCGCATGCGCGGCCGATCGGCGCGCGGCCTTTCGACTCGCGGAAGGGGTGGGGGTGAGAAACGTGCTCGTCAAGCCTCGAGGAGCGCCTCGAGAGACTCAGTAAGCGCCGCGAGTCCGCCGACGACGCTCGTGTCTCGTGGCGTCTCCTGAGGTGTCGCGTCGCGTCGTTGGTGCACCTCGAAAGGATTACCCGAAACCGGCAGGATAAAATGAGAGAACGGTAGTGCCGTTAAAGTAATTACGTTAAGAGTGAAGGGAATAAAGGTCATCGAAAACAAACAACCAGATCCTCCGGGAGAGGAGTATCCCTGGAAAGACGCCGGACAAAGACGTCTCTCAAAAGAGTTCGCTTACACTAATTAATCGCGGCTCGTCATCGAGTGTTTGTGATCGTTCGAGATGACGAGCACCGGGACGACGATGAACGCCCGTGCGTCCCTGCTCTGATCGCCCCGGGAGCTGCTTTTTCACGGCGAGATTAAAAAACGATGCCCGACAGGAGCAAGTGAGCATCCCCCTTTTTGCGTGTTCCCCTTTTTTTCTGTGCCCGAACGGAGATGTGCCCGCGACACTTGCTGCTCTGCCTGCTAGGCGTCGTCGTCATCGTGAACGGTGAGTTTTTTTTTTACAAATTCATCTGACTGAACGTTTTTGGCCCCGTTCCTTGGAGAGGTGTCTTGCTCCTCTGTCTTTCGGGAAACTTGCCGCGATGGTTTTGTTCGCCGTGATTTACTGGCCAAACTTTCCGACGCGGATATTTTGCGACTATTCCAGGGGATGATTTACTACCCTGGATTATTTCAATGGAGATATCTGTGTTTTGTTTAGGCAAGAGTCTTGTGCGTAATTCGGGGATTTTACGGGTTGTGGGCGATTTTGATTGCTGAGGACGATTAAATGTTAGCGGATGGATGAGACGGGGATGTATGTTAAGGGCTGATTTTTAGGAAAATTAAATTTGAGCTATTTAGAGAAAATTTTGGGAAGATTGTATCGCTGTGCGAATTGCAAATTAATTAGGTTTGTAAACAAGTTTTTATTCCACAAAAAATTCACCCTCATATACAGTTGATGTCTTATAAAAAATTAACTTTGAAGATTTTTTTGTGACGTTCAAAATTTTTTTGACACCATGTCACATCAAGTTAGATCAATTACTACCAAAATTTTACTTGTAGTTTTATACCAAAAATGATGGCACAGATTTGCACAAGAAATTCACGTAAGAACATCAAAGAAACAAATTACCAAAAATTTCAGAGTTAAGAATCAATTAACCCCTCAGGACGTCCAAAGCTTGATTTGTATTTAAACTTGTATCCAAACTCCTAAACAAAAGTTCTAACCAAAAAGTTGCCTAAAGGAAGAAATTAATACTAGAATTCATAGAAGAGAAGAAAAATCGAGGGTTGGATATTTTGTAAGGGTAAATGAAGAAACGCGAACTCGATGGTGCCATAAAGTGGCAGGGAAGTTTGGAGCTAACCAGCTTCTAACCGAAACTTCTTGCAAACTATTTTTTTCCCTCCCTCGACGTGTTTAACTCTAAATTACTTAATAAACTTGGAGCAACAGGAAGCTCGCTTAATCTGTTTTTACGGGGTGGGAATAGGGTTAATCCTCCGACTTGCAGGCACTGAAATTTTTCGTTACTGATACTTTATTACTGCTCTGGGGTACATGTGTGTCAGCTTAATTTTATTAGGAAGGTTTTAAAATTATTTTTACTGCGATATTTTCTATTTTAAGGAATTCGTATTCAGTATTTAGTATTTAATTTTGCTGGGAATTTTTTACCTCAAATTTAATATTCATGTTTTTCTTCAATTTTTTATTATTTTCTTACTGTTCTAGTATTATTTTTATATTACTGTTCTAGGGTACATGTGTGTGAGCTTAATTTTATTGGGAAGGTTTTAGAATTATTTCCTCTGCGACATTTTCTATTTGTATTTTGTATTTAAGGAATTTTGCTGGGAATTTTTTACCTCGAATTTAATATTCATGTTCTTCTTCAATTTTTTATTATTTTCTTACCGGTTTAGTATTATTTTTATATTGCTGTTCTAAGGTACGTGTGTGTGAGCTTAATTTTATTGGGAAGGTTTTAGAATTATTTCCTCTGCGACATTTTCTATTTGTATTTTGTATTTAAGGAATTTTGCTGGGAATTTTTACCTCAAATTTAATATTCATGTTTTCCTTCAATTTTTTATTATTTTTACAAGTTTATTTTTAGTAAAGTTCTATGATATTTCTGGTTATTGCAACTTAGTTTAGGTGTCACTTTCGAGATACATGGACTCGACAATCTTGTATTAATTTTCTGTTATAATTTTTCAGAGTCTAGTTATAACAGATATGATCTTAAAAATATTGGGTTAATTTGTAATTATTACTCTTGAAAGTTCTAGTTATTATATTTATAGACATACTTGCATTTAACGACGCAAACAAGATAAGCTGAAAGACGCAAACAAGATAAGTTGAAAATGGCGAAGTGCAGAGATAGACAAATGCAAGCAAATCAATCGATATTGCGTGGGAGAAAAACAAAATTGTTTTAAAACTCTTTGCGAGACCTCGAGCGTAACAAGTTGCCATTTTGAATAATGAACGCATTGACTCAGACAAAAATTTTACAATAATTTTTTGGTTCTATCTTATTAAAATAATTCAGTTATAATACTTGCAATAATAATCATTTAGTCACTTTAAAAAATGACACGTTTCAAAAATATCACACCAATTCTTGTATCTCCGTAACTCACAAGGGTAGTTGACAAAAGTAACTTTTTAGTAGATGTTCAAACCTAATTTTTATAAGAAGGAGAATACACGAAAAGTGAGATTAAAACGAGAGCAGATTACATATTCGTTTTAGAGAATGGATAGAATTAAGCTTGATGGGAGCTGATGCTTAAAATGGCGGGACGGAGAAAATGGCGGACGTTTTAGGCGGGAAATTTTTAGTAATCGGGTTATATTATTATATTCGGTACAATTTAGTAATTTTTAATATCATTACTAATTTATAATATTATTAATATTATTTACTAATGGTGCGTCATGCAACAGAAACCAACTTCTCGGGCCTCGAACGATCCTCTTCCACAAATGTTCCATAACACCCAGATAATAAACCATTAACATTTTGTCCCGGGAACGAATTCCCGAAGTATTCCTTTAGAATCGTAAAAGCAAATTAACATTGTCTTCTCGAGGGACTTCTGGA